CCCCCCCACCCCCGGCAAGCCCGCGAGGGAAACCCGGGGCACAGCAGGGCCCCTGCCCCCTGGCCAGGCTGAGCAGCCACTGGGGAAACTGAGGCACAGGGTGGGGACGGTGGTTGACCTCAGCTCTGACACGCGTGTCCGGGAGGAGCTGAGGGCAGAACCAGTTGTGCCGGCCTGGTTTAGCCGCAGTGGGGACGCTGTGGGTGCGGGGCCAGGTGCCTGGCACGCTGAGCCTGGCACGGCCCTGGGTGGCGGTGACGCAGAGACATGGCCAGTACTGACCGGAGAGGGGACAGGGGTGTCCCTGGTGTCATCACCGTGTCCATCCCTGCTGGCTCCATCCCGGTTAAATGTCACCGGGGCGCGGGAGGGGAAACTGAGGCAGCAGGGATGGTGCTGGCCGGGTCCCCGGGCACCGTCCCAGCCCTGCGCTGGCTTGGGGATGGAGCCAGCCGGGCCCCGCTCGAGGCCACGGAGGGGAACTGTGGTAACCACCTGCCAATCAACGCAATGGCGCTAATTAGCAGTTGGCAAGGCTCCCATCCTCGTTAATTAGCGATAACGAGGATTTATCTCCAGGCCAGATCCAGCGGAGCGGGGAAGGAGCTGTGTTCCCCTAGCCGGGCAGGAGTCTGGTACCACGCAGTCTGACGTGCCGGAGCCTGCACCATCCCTCCAGCCCTGGATGGAGGATGAGCCGCAGGCGTTAAAATGCTCAATTTTATTTAAAATAGCACTTGGAGAGGGAAAAGGGCAGCGGGGGGACGAAGGGCAGTTGCATATAAAAATAAACCAGGGGAGCCAGAGCCGCGGGTGCCCCCAGCCCCTCCGGCCCCGCTTCCTGGCTGCCCCCATGGGAGCCTGATCCCCTGGGGCTGTATCTTGGTCCCCAGGGCCATGGTGTCCCGCTGGGACCCGGTCACCAAGGGGGCCACGGTGAGCAGCTCCCCCCGGGGCGAAAAGCCACGGTGCAAACACACCCTGAGACCCGTATGAAGACGAAGAGGCGAGACAGCGTCCGGGGGGGGGTTTCCCCATCCCACTACTTTTTGAGCAGCACCTTCCTTCATGTCGTTGGTATTAGAAGAGTTTTTGCATCGAGCAGCTGCATCCGTGGCCAGTCCCTCACCCGGCTCTTGGGACGCGGCCCCGCTCCGGGACGGAGCGGCCGGGGCAGCGCGGGCAGGCATCGGCAGGAGCTGGTCTGGAGGTTGGCCTCGTTGAGCAGCGAGGCGATGGAGGAGGGCCCGTAGGCGCTGTCGAACTCCTCGTCCGAGCTGAGCTGGTCGTCTTGCAGGGAGGAATCGGCAGCCGGGCGGGCGGCTTTACGCCTGGGGGGGGGGAAGA